TTTTCCCCACCCACTCGATGCTCCCTCCCTTTTGGGGGCTATCTCTTCACTCCCTCAGGAGAGATCCCGGTGCCTCATCCGGGCTTCCCCTGACCCCCCCCTCCCCCGCCATGCGGGGCTCCCCAGCCCCGTGACTCCCATGCCCCGGGGGTTTCCTCTGTGCCCACGCAGGCTCGGTGGAAAGGTTGCGGCCTGCGGTGTGACCCTCCCTGCCACTCTTACTTCTGATTCCCGGGCTTGGAGCTCAGTCAACCCCAGGGCACTCGCCCACCCTGGAGGCACTGGGCGGGGAAACTGAGGCCCGGCGGATGCTGGGTGCCCCGGGCAGGGCGGCGCCTCGCCTGTAATTTCTGGAGAATTAGGAGGCGACTGAGTTTCGGTTTAGCAGCAAAACGCAGCTCGTGCCAAGCCCGGCAGGGCTGGGAGGCCGCTTCCTGGGGTATTTTCCTGCTTGTTGATTTTAGTTTGGGGAGAGAAAAAAAACTTTCTTTGATGCAATTAAGAGGAAAGGGGCTGGTGTGGGTGGGTGCGTGGGAAGGGGGCGCTCGTGGGCCACGGAGAGCCCCCGGAGGAGCGCCTCTGCAAGGCCTGAGACCTCCAACGTGGTTCAGGTGCTCCCCCCTTGGGTTGCGGTGACGACTAGGGGTCACCCGAGGTGGGGAGGGCGCCAGTGTGGGTGCCAGAGCTTGGAGCTGGCTCCAGAGCAGTCGGTAATGCATGGCACAGCGACCAGGTTTCCTAATAAACGTGGCTCTTAATTGCTACAGGGCAGGAGGAGGAGAAAGGAAAAAAAGGCAAAGATTTGTGGAGTAGGGTGGTGGCGCCTGCCACCAGGAAAGGTGTTGCTGCAGAGGCGCCCGTGCTGCTAATGGGGACTTAAGTGACACTTCCTGGTGAGCTGGGGGCAGCGCGCCAAAAGCACACCAGAACCCAGAGGCTTTAGAAATTTATTACAAGGCCAGCACAGTAGAAATAAAAATATAAGTCTGTTCACTTCCCGGCCCTTTCAGTGGTTCCGAGTAACAAGAAGTGCAAAGTAACAAAATAGATTGTCCGTGATTTGCAAGCTGGGAGTTCCCGGATTGAGAGCCATGTGGATGGCGCCCCATCTCCCAGTCGCTAGTCCTGCCGAGGACTCCCCTCGGTCACCCGAGTTGCATTGCGCCTGCAGATGTCTCTGGTCTCCAGAAGGGTGGGGACCCTGTGGCTCTCCCCACTCCTGCATTGTCCATCCAAGCCCTCTGTGACACAGGGTGACGGCAGCTCCTCCTTCTGGCTTCTGCTGTCCCTGAGGCCTGGGCTCCCGGAACCCTTTCTCCTGCTGGCCCGGGTCCCCTGCTTCTCCTCTTTCAGTGGCCACCTCGGGCGCTGCTTCCGGCTCTGTCCCCCCTGGGGGGAGGTGGCTCCACACTCCCCTCTTCTCTTCCTCAGTTTTCAAGTGACTCTACCCCCATGGTCTCATGGGTTGGGTTGTTCTGGGGGTGTTCTGATAGGGGGTCAAATACTTATTTACTTATTTTTGGCAGCAACAGCTTTTGTGGCTGGGAGGCCCTCAGCGCTCCTGCAGGGAGATATAGGGGACCCACTGGTTGTTGCCTCGGCTCTCTTGGCAGTAACTAGCTACTTCCACCAAGCCGTGGCTCTTCCAGGCGTCCGTGTGAGGGTTCTGAGGAAGGAAAAGGAGGGTTCAGTGGGAGCCCCAAGAATAGGTGGGGACCGTCCAGCCCTACCCCGCCCCCTCTTGGGGAAGACAGGAGAGCTGGAAATAGCTGCCCTGCTGACAAGGTGCTGTGGGGCAGCCCACGGGACATGCCGAGCGTGGCTGGGCGCTGAGCTGGTGTGGAACCAGCCGGTCAGCCTTTGTTGACAAACAGGAGCCCAGGTGCCCAAGCAGGGCGGGGACCCAACTCACCGTGACCAGGAGGCAGTGCAGATCTCGGGCCTCGGTGGCACCCTGTGTCTCGGCCGGCTCTCCCAGCAGCTCTGCCAGCCGCTGCATGCCCGACACCCTCACGATGTCGATGTCGTTGTCGCAGCAGAAGGACTGGATGAGTGTGAAGTGGATCTGCAGGGCAATGTCATCTTCTTCCTCCTCATCAATAGCCAGGAGACAGAGGACTACGCTGTCAGGATCCCTGAAGGGGAGGAAAGAAGAAGGCAGGTCAGGCGAGGACGCCACAGGAAGAGCCACCAAGCTGCACCGGGAGGGCCCAGAGGCTGAGAAAAATCGCGGGAGTCTGCAAGCTGCTAGACAGGACAGGGAGGGCCGGGGCTCGTAATAAAAGAGGGTGCTTGCAAATGGCCAACTCTTAAGATGCTGCAGGTCCCTCCCCCCCAAAAAAAGCCCAGAAGTAGGGGTTCACAATGGGGAGCATTCGGGGGCGTCCCAGCCCCATGCAAGAGCCTGCAAAGCAGAGGGCGTCCCACCGCCCCAGCTGAGGAGCGTTCTGACTCACACATTCATCAGCTTGGCGGACTCGTACACCCCCACGGTGAGGCGGTCGTGGCGCTGCGCGGCCACCAGTAGCTCCTCCACCGCGGCGGTCACCGTCTGCATCCTGAAGCCATAGAAGAGGAGGGTCAGCGCTGGGAGAGCCCCTAGCAGCTAACTCCCGGCCCGGTCACCGCCGCCGGCGGGGACCAGGGTACTTACTTCTGCGCCGCATTGTCACACGTCACAAGCTCCTCCAGTGTCATGGTGCAGTTATAATCCACAGTGATGCACCCCACGGCAGTCCCCAGAAAGAAATTGCAAAATCCGAGCCAAACAGCTCAAATCTTCCCACGGAGCTTCAGGAGGCAAGCGAGAGTGCCTCCAAAAAGAAAAAGAAAAAACCGGAAAGATTACAAAGTCCTTAGCGAAAATAATCCGAGCAGCCGTGAAGAGAAATACTGCAGTCCTCTGGCTTCAGCGATCTGAGCCCGAAACTGCCGGCGCCACCTTTTACATTCTTGTGGGGCGGAGCCTGTCCTGGAAGGTACCGCCCACCTCTTCTATTGGTGGAAAAACAAAAGGGAGAGTAGCAAGGTCTACGATTGGTCAGAGGAGGGGAGGGGGTGGAGCGCCGTGCGAGGTCGCCCCACGTGGGGGCGAGAGTTGGGGGGAAGGGAATGAGAGTGCCAGAAAAAAAAAAAAACAGAAGTTTTTCTCTTGATTTCCCGGCAGCCGCGCCGCGGTTCGAGCGCGCGGGATTTCCAGCGCGTGAGGCGGCCTGGACTTGGAGGGGGGGATTGGAATCCCCTCCATGTTCTCGGAGAGTCCCAAGGCTTAGCCTTTCCCAGGCTCTACTTAGGGGGCTTCATGGGAAAGGGGCTCGGTTTGCAGCCTAGTCGCTCCCACTGGAAACTGGGCGTTCTTTTCGGGCTGTGGGGACCTCAGGTCGTGGGTGACTTAATTTTCTAAGGAATGCACCGCTAGCCTCACTGGAGGGTGCATAAGTAAGTGCTCAATAAGGCTGGTTATTGCAAGGGGACTCTCCAAGGTTCCCAAAAGTGAGGGCTGCAAGGACCACCTCCTGGCCCCCACCTGTAAGCACCAGCATCCTAAGGCTGAAAAAAGGCACCTAATAAAACAAAAGGCACACACTAAGCGCTCAATAGGTGCACAGCATGTCGCAGTAGGATGCCATCGAGGTCACCAAATATAGAGGCTGCAGAGTCCTGGGCATCCTGGGGGAGAGCCCGGGCGCCAACTCCTTGCACCGCGAGTTTCAGGGTGCGGTACGCGTGGGAGGGAGCGCTGGTGCGGCTGCCTCAAGGCGCTGCGCTGAGCAGCCCCGCCCCCTGCCGGCAACCTCTGACAGGGGAGAAACCTAGGCTGGGAGAAAGCAAGCCAGAGACTTTCCCGCGTGCGCTGCACGCTGCCACCTCTACCACGGTCGCAAGGACAACGGCCGCTCCCTCTCGTGAGGGCGCCGACATACACTGCGAGCCATACTGTGTATCAGGAGCCCCCTCCCTGTAGCATATAATCCAGGACCTGGGAAAGTCTGGGCCGTGCAGATTGGCATTATGCAAAAGGGAAAACTGAGGCCTGGAAAGGCCATCACTGCCCGGTTCGTGTCGCCTTCACGCGTGGGTTAGCTCGGGAGCGCGCTGTATGAGTGAGGCAGGCAGGTCCGTGTGGGTCTGTCTCCCACGGTCAGTCGGGGGCTCCCGGGTGACTCACATCTGCGTCCCCTCCCTCGCCAACCTTGGGTCTGGCCTCAGCCCGCAGGCTCCGCTCCCCCGCTCCGGGCCCGCGAGTTCGGCTGACGCACGGCACCACCTCCGCGCCGCCCACAGCAGGAGCGCGAAATGTCCCGGGTGTGCGAGGTGCAGCTGCGCCACCTGCTGGCAGGCGCAGTCACTGCGCCCACAGCACCGGAAGGGCGGGACAGAACGGAGAGAACGTTTGTATTTTATGTAGAGCATATTTTCCATTTGGAAAGTGTTTTCTATAAATTCAGTATTTGGGGGTAAACACAGGGCCTCCACGCTTGGCAAATGCTCTACAACTGGGTCACATCCCCAACCCCTAGGACCTTCACACTGGGCTACATCTTCAATCTGCTTTTATTTTTTATTTTGAGATAAGATCTTGTTAGATTGCCCAGGCAGGGCTTAAATTTGAGATCCTCCTGCTTCAGCCTCCTACATAGGTGGAATTAAGTATATGTACCACGCTAGGGTACCATTCACATAGTAGTAACAGTACTAATATGGCAACATATATGTATGAATATGATTTCAATCACTTGTAACTACACATGAAGCAACACATACATACACAGAGCTATGTAACCGTTATATCTAGAACCACTGTTTCTTTCCTCCCTAACATAAACTCTGCTCAGTGAACAATGAAGAGGTGCTGACAAGATAGCTCAGCGGATTAAGCACCTGTTTAGGCAAGCGCAGGGACCAGGGTTCAATCCCCAGCACCACGTGTCACGCTGGCCCCCGCCCCTGGGGGCGCTGAGCTGGCCCCCGTGACCAGGTGTGGTGGCACACGCCTGTAATCCCAGCGCTGGGGAGGCTGAAAACAGGAGGATCACTATGAGCCTGTGCTGCGCAGTGAGATCCTGCACTGAACACACAATAAAAATGAGCCTCATGTCCTTCACCCTGGTCACCTCTCATCCCCGCGCTGCCCTGTGGAGGTGCCAATTCCAGGGCCCCGAAACATGTGCTCTTCGGTGCCTGGCCTCTCTCACTGCGTGCTGTACACAGGAACCCCTCACTCCACTTGCTTTTGAATGGAACCCAGGGCATTGAATTACATCCCCAGTCCCTCTTTATTTTGACGAGATCGGGCCGTTCAGGGTGGTATGGCCATAGACTCCCTCTTTATTTTGAGATGAAGGTTTACTAAACGTCTAAGTTGTCCAGGCTGGGTAACTTGCAACCCTCCTGACTCTGCCTCTCAGAATGCTAGGATGACAGGCCTGTGCCATCACGCTGAACTCTTAATGTTTTAAATCATTTATTTATTTATTTATTTATTTATTTATTTATTTATTTATTTATTAAAGGGTTCTGGGACCAGTATGGCATGTAGTATTAGGGATTGAACCCAGGTCCTTGCACTTGCCAGGCAGGCACTTAGTCAAGCTATCTCCCCAGCCCTGGACTTTTGTTTTTTTTGTTTCTGTTTTTCTACTAGGGATTGAACTCAGGACCTTACAATTTCCAGGCAGGCACATAAGCCACTGAGCTATCTCCCTGATCAAAGTTGAGAAGGATTTTTTTTTTTGAGGTGGGGGGCTTGTTCAGGCTGCCTTAAGGGCAGGTCTGGTAAGGCATGTGAAGCTGGGGATTGAACCACGGTCCCCTTTGCCTGACTACATTTTTTTTAACAGTTTTTTTTTTATTAATTTATTTTAATTGTGTGTGTGTGGCCAGCTCAGCCCACTAGGGGTGGGGCTGGCTGGCATGTGGTGCTGGGGGATTGAACCACAGTCCCTGTGCTTTGCTAAGCTTGTTCTAAGTAGGTGCTTTAGACCACTGAGCCATCTCACCAGCCCTGCCTGACTGCATTTGCATGACAGGTGCTTAAACAACTGAGCTAACCTACAGGCCTCCGGACTTTTATTTTGTTTTATTTTCAAAGCTGGAGATTGAACTCAGGACCTTGTGCTTGCCAGGGAAGCGCTTATTCTACTGAGCCATCTCCCCAGCCTCGGACTTTTGATTTTGACTTTCAAAACTTTTTTTTTTTTTCCTTTTTTAAGAAGTGGTCTCCTATGCAGTCCAGGCGGTCCTTAATCTCACTTTGTAGCCCAGGCTGGTCTCTAGGCTCACAGGAATCCTCCTGCCTCAGCCTCCCAAGTGCTGGAATCACAGGTGTGCACCACCATGCCCAGCTTCTCAAACCTTTTGTATTACAAGGCTTGAGATGTAGCTCAAAGCACTGGGTTCCATCCCCAGCAACACAAAAACAAACAAACAATAAAGTTTTACAGCTGGGTGTAATTCCAGGAGGCTGGGGCAGGAGGATCATTGCCTCAGGAGGATCACTGTGAGTTTCAGGCCAGCCTGGGCTACACAGTGAGATCCTGTGTCAAACACAAAATAGAGAAGGCTGGGGTGTGGCTCTGTGGTGCGTACTTGCCTAGTATGTACAAGGCCTGAGATTCCATCCCCAGCACCAGGAGAGGAACAGGCCAGGAAAAAAACAAGAGAAAGGACTAGCGCTCTGTGTGTGGCACCGTCCTGCAGCTGGGGCCACCACAGAGCCTTCATGAGGACCTGCCAAGGGTGACGTTGTGCCAGTGTACGGGCAGGCATGAGTCAGGTAGGCTTCTCTGAGGAGGTAACGTTTGAGCCAAGACCTGAATAACATGAAAAAGTCAGGCTTGAGAGACTTGTCGGGGCAGGGGAAGGCGGTCCCTGTGAAGAACGTGGCTGTGCAAAGGCCCTGGGCACCACAGGCCCGCAGCCAGGCACAGTGCAGGAGCTGCCGGGAGGAGGCCATAGGCACAGCGGGACAGCGTGAGGGGCAGTGGGGGAGCGGGGACAGCCCGGAGCCAAGAGACTCTGAGGGCTCCCTGGCTGTAGCCAGGATGGCCAGGAAGCCCCTGCTGCGTCTGCAGCTGGGAAGGGCTGTGCTCTGACATCACGTTTTGCACAAACACGAGAACAAGAGAAGATTCCTGTCCCTAAGGAGGGGTTTCCGGGTGGGAGTGACTCATCCTGGGAACTTCAGAGGGTTGTGAGGCAGGAGCGGCTGGGAGGATGTGGGAATGGGCGTCAGGTGCCAGCTTGGCAGGGGCAGGGGCAGGACTCCTGGAGGCCGGGGCCAGGGATGCAAGAGGGGCTGTGGTGGTGTGCAGTGGGGCAGTGCGGGGTGGGGCAGCGGGATGGTGTCTCACTGTGACAGGAGCTGCCAGGGGTGCTTGAGACCTCCTGGTTCAGCAGGACAAGGTGGTGCATGCCCGTCCTCCCAGCAGTCCAGGAGGCTGAGGCAGGAAGATTTCCAGTTAGAGCTCAGTCTGGGCAATTTACAGATTTAGCAAGATCCTCTCTCAAAATAAAAATATGAAAGGGTGAGATGTGGAGCTTGGTGCACAGGCCAGGAGTTCAATCTCTAGTTCCGGGGGAAAAATGTTTGAATTCAAATTGTCTGCGGTTGGAGAACTATGTAAACCGCTCTTGCCTCAACTCCTAGTGAGCACTCTGTGCTGGAGCCCATGACCGGCCGTCTGAAACGCCCTTCTGCCTGTGGCAAAGCGAGTAGGAAAGGATCACTCAATTTTTTTTTTTTATTTTTTTTTTTTTTTTTGGACAGGACCACTCAAAATGATAAGCTCAGGGCTGGAGAGATAGCTCAGTAGAATAAGCACTTGGCTGGCAAGCACAAGGTACTGAGTTCAATCCCTGGCTCTGGAAAAAAAAAAAAAAAAAAGATAAGCTCCATGGGCTTGGCACCTAGCAGTGCTATGCATGCTC